TTAAAGGGGCGTACCTTTGGTGATAATGTTTCCGAAACTAAATGGAAACATAATGGTGTATCAAATTTTGAATTGTCTTAGATTACGAAAAAGGTAGAACTTCATGGCATCTCTTTCAGTAACACAGTATGGTAAATAAACAATATGGTAAACATATTCCCTGAACTACATCTTAGTTGAAAATCAAAACGCAGAGCTTTTCGGTGTGTGTAGGAAGTGGGGGCAAGGGAGAAGGGGGGGGGGGGGGGGGGGGCAGGGATAGAGGGGCTGGAATCCGAACCCGAGAAAACTCATCCCTCAGCCCACGCTAATCTGTTTTTCGTCATTAAATGTATTTTTGCTGAATAAGGTTAAAATGACTATAGTTATTATTAGAAGTTCACAAAGATCAAATGATTGATGGATTGATTAAATTTTATATAGAAAAAAACAACGTTCTCATAGTCCTAAAACATCCATCTTGCATGCCGGTTTAAGTAATATCGAAGGTTTGTCAGCCCTAAATAATGCTTTATCAAGGGCAGAAGGAAAGCGTTAAACCGGTTATTCCGTTTAACCTATTTAAACCCTTCTATGCCAATGGCGGTATCCCGCAAGGGGAATACATGTGTCCCTTATTGTTAACGTTGTTTGCTAAAATTATAAGAATGAATTTGAAATTTGAAACGTCTTTATATTTGAATGAGCGAACATTATCAAATAGAATTTTTTTTCTGCTTAACATGCATATTGTATGGATCATTTAAGTTTGATTATTAACCAGCCTACGCTTTGCTGAGCCCGAGGGAAATTATCAAATTTAAGTAAAAACTTGAGAAATTAATTTTTATTGATGTACCGGTACTTTAAATTATGTTTAATATATGTATTTTGAATAATGCCTAGAGCTGAGGGACGAGGTGGGTGTTATAATTAACACACCGCTCATTAGCTTAAATGAGAAATGTTATAATGACGTCATGATCTGGTTAAGCTTTTATGGAATTAAGAGAATTACCTGCAAAAGAAATGGGAATTTGGATGATGCAAATATGAGCTATAAACGTTTCCTATACACTTTCTGAGGCAAGAAAAACCCTTAAATATTCACTTCAATTTTGGAATATTGGCCATTGGGGGACGGGATTTCATCATAATTCCTGTTTTAGCGAAGCATGAACACACACCCCCTTTAAACTGTATGTGAGAGCCACCATGTCCCAAGTAGAAAGTGTAAATATCTCAAGTGAAATAATGAGGTTATTTATGATCTAATGAAGGCAGGCGAGTTGTATAGTAATTGAAGAATTTATATTCAGGTAAAAGTATAAATAGAGACTCTGTTTGAAATATGACACACCCAAAACCTACTCCTATTCATTCACGGGATTTGTAATTCGAGATGAAAAGTTGTGGGTGTCTGAAGTCAATGCAAATCTGCTGTGAATTCTTATTTTTGCATTGTCATTTAGGTGTATTTTGTTTTATGCACAGTTCCTTGCAAGAGCCAATCGCAAAATTTATGACAAAAAAAGAGTAAGCTGTTCCAATTTCAACCAGTACTAATAAGTCAAAGTCCATCCTTAAAATTGATAAAATTTCTATGAAATATGAATTTCAAAGTTTCAACAAATAGCTGTCACATTTTACTTGCAAAATTATTACTTGATACAAAATTTCATGGTAAAATGCTGTCTACCATGACACTCCGAAATAGGGCTGCCATGGTTGATTGTTTGGTTTGTAGATGAGACAAGTGAACGTCAGATCTTTTTGGCTAAATCATTTACATGATGAAATTGTGATACAGAATTTCATGGTAAAACACCTACTACATAAAAAAAAAAAACTATGAAATTCGGCTGCCGCACCAGTCTGAGACAGGTAGGGCATTGTCTTAAGGTGAACAAAACAAACCAACGCCCCCCTCAACCTCCTGATATCTTTATCAAAGTTAGGCCCTACTACTCGATAACAAGACCGAAGTAGGTCACGCCCACTTTCATATCATTTTATTCACAAACACAACCCTTAATATGCGAATATTGCATGATTTTAAAAAGTCAAGGCCCATTATCTTAACACTGGGAGGTGTGGTAGTCTTGGTTCTGAGGCCATAGCGTGATCAAGTTTTAAATGGGTCAGTGGGGTGTCTGGTGGATTCAAAATACATGAACATAATTGAAAAAAGTTTGGTCAAAAGTGAAGCCAATCTGTTTGAAGTAAATGTAGCTTTTTCGTTTTCTGATCTATGTACAGGTTACTTTAATTGTTATCTGACGAAACGTTTCCCAAGATTTTCGATCTCTTTCAAGAGGCAGGATCGTTTTCAAAGTGATTTATTTCACATAGTCAATGCTGGGATAGGATAGATCAATTTGTTATGACTTTTTTTTTTGGCGATTTAATCTGCACGTCTGTTCCAAAACCCAATCCGGAAGTGAAGATATGCATTAGTGCTTCAAGCGACTTCCGGTTTCGTAACAAAACAACATCCATATTCTGCATCATCCATTGTACGAATGTCAATAAGTAGACTAGTCAATCAATCTAACAACAAATTTCTATATTCGTATGTGACAAACCAATCAAGCACGAGGTAACAAATGTCAGAGACTGACCGGTGACAAGTCAATTTGCCCCTAGGGAGAATTTGCGCCTAAACCAATATCACTGACCGTGAAATTTAGTATGTCAGATATCGGTGATAAAACCGTGAAATTTAGTATGTCAGAAATAGGCGATAAAAACGGTGAACAAACTTCATCCAATTAATATTTGGCTTGACCATTGAAAATTGTAGGTAAATAAAATACCGGCTTATATCAACATAACGTATACGTCAGTGGTTGTTAGGCCTACTTCGGCCATTTCCGAGCATCGAACACGTCTAGCGCATGAATTGTTTTAAAGATTTTCTCAACTATTCCGAAATTGGAAAGTATGTAATACAAATTTTGGGAGACGTAAATCCAAAAGAGAGCAAACTTTCAAAACGTCATTTGGCTTGAAAATTCCAGACGTCGGAAGAATTTTAAGAGAACTTCTTTAGACCGCGTAGTAATAAATCTAACAATTTATAACTAGAAATTCATGACGCCAGAAGTCTACCATCTTGTAAATTCACAAGCGATAGTGGTTTGTGTTTGACAAAAAAATAAAAATGTGTAAATGGGTCAAGTGAAAATTTCGTTGACTTGTTATGACCAAATTAACAATCCAATTTCCATTTTCAATCTATCTTCAGATTCAAATTAGTTGAGGACTTAATGTCAGCCATGTTTGTTTTGATGTTGACATACATAATGTCGATCTGGGAACATACTTATTACAACATGATTTGGTACACTTCAGCTTGAATGAAGATTACATAGAATACTGTTATGGTTCAAGAGCCCTTCCATATGGAAAATACAATAAGGCTACCCACCAAAACTACTACTGGGAAACCTTTAGGTTCGTTAAACTCGCACCGTACATCACATTGGATCCATACCTCAACTCTTTGCGGCATTTCACAGGCAAAAAACGTAAATTTGGGAGGTTGATTTTAAAAGAATGACCCCTGCATCTTTTACCTACATTCAAAAGGACAATGTCAAAATCCTTACACAGGGCTTATCGAATGACACCCATCCTAAAGCAGGCGATACCAGAAACTACACGCATATACTTCAGGTTTATGAAGTACAATGTACCCTCTACTTTGTCATAACATATCCTAAAGCTTTTTCTTGAACCCGTGGGCGCAGATCCCGATGGGGACACAGGGCCAGGTACCCACAATCTGTTTTCAGTCCTGGAGACACGATATGGTTGGCCCCCACAACTTTTTGGTCGAAAAACAACAAAACCTAGTCAGTGACAATGGTATAATATTGAACCTCCTGCATGTTAACTCATATCTTATATTAAGATAGGCGGCAAATACTTAGCACATATATATACACGTGGGTGCAAGTGTCCGTTTCCACGACATATCATATAGCATTCTCATTAACACCAAAACCCGATAACCGGAAGTAGTATTATATTGGACCCCCGGCATGTCATATCAGAGGTAATATGGTATATAATGTTATAATAGGCGGAAGGGAGGACTTGAGGTCAGCTTGACTCGGTACATGTAATAATCGTCTATAGACCAAAATATCTACAAAAACTCTATATACTACTCATTTAAAAGGTCTTTACATTAAAAACCTAGCATTTAAATATCAACCTTGTATTTTGATTTGACAACCAAACCAAAGGAAGAGCGGGTCTCGACTCAACTGCGATACGTCTTCCATTAGCTGTGCTTCTCTGGTTCTCTAACATTATTATTGTCGGCATCCGTTGCCGGGACAGTGCAATAAGTCTAAGTCCCTTTTATGTATTCAAACCGTTGATGGATCACGAAGAGTTTAGTCCGAGACCTACCCAGCATTTAACCTAATGCTTCTGCCAATTGGGCATACACACCCCTAGCCCTCTAAAAAGGCTATATCAGCTTTGCCCCGCTCCCCAAAATTACCATTTCTTATTATTTTTCACAGAGAACGATTTGTTTGTGGGCCCTTAACATTGCTATAACTCCCACTCGCCTACTCGCCCCCTCGCTTACTCGCCCCCTTGCCTAAAGATTCGTAGAAACGACACTTTAAGCTACCTGTTATGTAATTACCTATGTAAAAAACTGTTCGTGTCATTAGAAGATAGAGCGGGAAACATGTGGGTGTGTGAACCATTGATTAAAATCCTATCCTAGAACTCGAGCTATAGTTGTTGATCTGTTGCTATTGATTATTGCATTGTATACTTACCTAAATAAACAGTAGCAGTCTATGTAGCTATATGATGCACAGACTGGGCAGCTTTGGGACCTCGAACTATGGGTTTCCATGGGCCCAACCCCAATGTCCATCTGATAATGAGGATATCTACTGCTCAACCAAACAAATGAGACACCGCAACATCGATTTCTCTTATTTTATCCTACCTTTACTCAATTCTCATCGGATTGAAGCCATTTCTTTTTCATGAAATCGAAGAGATATACAAAAAATAAGATTCGGAAAAAAACCTCTCGCGTTCGGTGGACCCTTCATTCTGCATTCGGTTGTCCGACCCTTCACTCTGCATTCGGCTGTCCGACCCTTCACTCTGCTTCCGATGGTCCGACCCATCACTCTGCGTCCGGTGGTCCGACCCATCACTCTGCGTCCGGTGGTCCGACCCATCACTCTGCTTCCGGTGGTCCGACCCTTCACTCTGCATTCGGTGGTCCGATCCTTCACTCTGCGTCCGGTGGTCCGACCCTTCACTCTGCGTCCGGTGGTCCGACCCTTCACTCTGCTTCCGATGGTCCGACCCTTCACTCTGCCTCCGATGGTCCGACCCTTCACTCTGCGTCCGGTGGTCCGACCCTTCACTTTGCGATCAATCCAATCGATATTATGTAAGGTATTTATTCAGAAACCGATGTTCGACAGCATTTCAGCAGAAAAAGCGAAAGCAATATGGCGGAATGAAAATCAGGTTTAGATGTACTTGATTGTGAAGTATATTGTATACTAATAAATAGAAAAATTAAAAATACTAAAATCGATTAAAAATAATCTAAGCTTGCAAATAAATTTTCCCAGAAACCAATGCCCGGAAGCAATTCAGCAGCGAAAAACAACATGGCAGCACGGTTCTCAGCTTCAGTGATAAAAAGTTATTGATCGTTCTGTGTATTGTATACTAATAAATAGAAACATTATAAATACTAAAATCGATTAAAACACTTTGACCTGGCAAATGAATTTTCTCAGCAAATCAATAATTAGTTCAGTTCGGTCTATGCTTTATTCTTGTTATTGCATACAACTGAACAATAGCTTTAAAAAAAACTTAGATGTTTTGAAGACTGAAGGTCGTTGCTAGTAAATAAAGCTGATAAGGAACTTTTTTTGTTCGCTGATTATATGCTTATGTCTCATTGTTAACAATGATAAATGCATGTACTATAAAACTTCTTTGCATGGTCGGTATCTGTCCTGAGGAATGGTTAGGGGTGATGTGCGGGGGAGGGGGCGGGGGTAAATGAAGTGGTCTCTGGTAGTGGTTGGCTCTTGTCGATTTTCAGCAGGAAGCAGTAAACATTTAAGTCTGTTTTACATGCTCTCTTGTGTTTTTAGACCTCGCTATATTAGTTTTGCATCTGATAGTTAATCTAAGGAATCCCATTGTTGACGCTTATCGGTCTCCATATACAAAGATAAACTTTTTCAAGTATTCCTTAAGGATGCACTGTCACTTTTGGGATACCCGTTTCAGTAATTATTTTCACTGAGTTCATTGAGGACATTTAATTCTCACCGACTGTATTTCCTTTACAATAATTTCAATTATCCAAATCTGCCTCCCACCACATCCCTCAAGATCGAAACACATGTAGCTAGTTGTTATAGCAATTAGGTGTAAATATATGCATTATATTAAAGCTACCGTGTGTTTGCTTTCAATATCACAATGAATCACACCAGGCTCTGTTTATTTAATAGAGAAAACATAAATTTATTTTCTAATTCAATACAAGCAATAATTGATAAAAAAAATTAATTAAAATTCTCCTCGAGATACGTGACCTAATTAATCGTAGTGCTATATTCATACGTCCTTGACCTTTACTTTCCCCAAGTTGAATATAAAAACGGTTTGTTGAATCATCAATAACAGTTTTATTTTTCTTCTTTCTCGCTGCTCTATATTGCAATTGGAATTATTAATATTTTCTTGGTAATGTTCGAAAAATGAAGAAATTAATGCTTTACGCCCTTCTGCAACAATTTGCAACGGCTTTGTTACCAACACCAACAGCTTTTCAACTTTCACTTGGGTCTTCTTATACATCTGAACCCCCTGATCTGTATCTTCAATGGATGTATTTTTTCTGTAATGGTTTTTATTACCTTATACATAACATTTTTCATGTCGTCTGTACGAGTCAAGTTATTTGAGATTTTGACATGTAAAGAATTAATAACAATGTAAGTTATCAGATATCCTGCATTATTTACTGTGTCACCCTGACCCAGATAGGAAGGTGTGTTTGATATATACTTATATATACATTGTACAATTGTACATATACAGCGTGGGAAGGTGCCTGGAGTGAAATAAAATTCAGAGCAGTTTTAATTGGATATACAGTCATTTAAGCTGATAATCTACCCCTAGAAACACTGTTGCTCGTGATATATCGGTCCCTTCCTTCGGCCATTCCGTTCTTAACAATCAAAATTCAAAGGAAGTTCACAGACTGCAGACAACTTTATGTGTATTGCAGCGTTAATAAAATGTTACAAATGAAGAGCACAGTAAAGACGTGTTGCACTGCAGCTACATTCAACAATTGAAGCAAATAAATAGTGCGAAGTTCAAATGAATACAGATGGTTGCATTGAGTATCTTCTGCACTGTGATGCTGATTGTAAAATGCTACCTGTTGACTGACTACCAAGCTTTGTATTAGCGAAGTGCAGAGGTTCAGATAGCACACGGTAACAACCCGCCAACCGTCCCGAAGACAACTATGTGGGCACCAGTCTGTCCCATACCCCCTCCCATCACCGGAGGCGTTGCCCCCCCCCCCTCCCCCATATCGTTTGACATAGTAAAAAAATGACACCGGCCCCTCTGGAAAATTTTGTTTCCCCTGCTCGGTCCCCTCACCTGATGTTTTCTAGCATCCTGATGTGGATGCATATCACAAAAACAAACACGCAAAGCAAAGCATTGAATGCAAATACTATTCACGAGAGACGAAAGCATGGTGCAGTTAGCAAATTCCACAAGCCATCAAAACACAATCCCCAGACAACCATTCTCAGACACACCGAATACACCTTGATGTATATCATATAAGGTGAAAAAACCTAAACGATATTACATGTAATTCAATAAATCATGGGTGACATTATGATATGACTGATAGGCCAAAGGAAATATAGATAATTTGGTCCAATTATTCCCTAGTCGACCTTTTCAATTTAATGATATTTGGCTGCCCAAAGTTGCTGAAGATCAAAGGTGGAAAGTGACAGCTAGCTCGATTTATGGTTAGGTTTTTAAGGTTGGTCTAAGCTAAATATAGAGTAGATCATGCCTATCACCTAGTTCTTAGGCTAAAACTCTTGGTATTGATCTTTCCCGAATTTACAATACCCATTTACAGCTGGGTCGACTGAAAGAGAAAATATGGTCAAACGTTGACCGAAATTATTACCCATGACCTCCATTAATTCGACGTCATGTATAGATTCCAACGCCCTAACCGACTGTGCCACAGCCCGCCTACCCGAGCCTCTTTGACAATCGATATGCACTCCCTCGTCCCTAGCATGTCCGGCCTGCTATCCACTTAAACGACTCGGTGTTATCTCGGTTATCTTTTAAAAGGGGGTTAAGTTTGTCGACATACATTGCCTTGACGCAATGTGCACCACATATGAATATTCTTTGAATTTATAGCCATAGAGACTGCCTACAGAATTATTTATAGAAAAGTCACGTTTTATAAGTTTTTATTGACAGACATGTTTTCCTGGTGGTGTATTCAGATTCTATATTAGGTACAATTAATACCAAATGAAGTATTATTGTACAAAGAATTGAATAGTCTATTGGTATTTTCAGACAATAAAAAATGTAGTAATGTACCGCTCTTAAACTCAGTACCAATTAGCATAGCATTGTTGAGTACAGACAAGAATGACATTGTAGAAAAGTTCAGTTAAGCACTATATATGCACTCAGCTAAGTAGAATATAGCATAGCACTGCTAATAAGCTTAGAGCCAAATAGCATATCACAGCTCTACAGCTCACTGAAAATAGCATGGCGCTGTATTACTATTCAGTACAGACTAGAAGGCCATTGTAGTTCAGTTCAGTTTGCATAGCAATACACTAAAGTTCAGTACATAGAAGCATAGCATTGCAAGGACCAAATTGTGTAGCACTGCACTAGAGCTTATTGCAGAATAGCATAGCATTGCACTATAACCAAATATGATACAGGATGCCAATGCAAAACAGCTCAGAATAGTATGGCATAGCATTGCACTAAAACTTGGTACCAATTAGCATAGAACTGAACAACAACATAGTACTAAGGCTGAGTAGAAAATAGCATAGCGCTGAATTAGGGCTCAATGGAAAATGATTTGCAACGCACGCATGCTCAGTGCCAATTAACATATCATTGCACTACAGCTTAGTTTAAAACAGCGTTGCACGACATACCAGAGCAATATACGTTTGCACAATAACACAGCACAGTGAACAGCATTACTAAATAAAAAAAAGCATAGTATAATGAGCACAAAAATGTATAGCATACTATGGTGCACTACAATCATAGCAAAAAGGAAAGGCATAGTATATGGCTTCATAGCATGAGCACTAAAGCATGGTAATAGGACGGTGCAAAATAGTATACCTTAGCGCAACACAATACAATACACAATAGCATGTCAAAGTAACGTGATCATATTTCTAAAGGTAAAATTAATGAGAGATAGAGAGACCTTATACATTTATTGGGACGAAGAACACGATCACGCTTTCTTAAGATTGGTTGATCCCCTACTTGACTATTTCTGTCGGATTTAAAGTAGATTAAAAGAGATTAAGTGGATTAAAGTTAACGTTGGTCAATGAAATCGAGTGACCATAAAACACAATAGATATAGTCCAACAACATTCCTATGTCAGCAGGGCGTCGTTAACTGCTCGGTTGCATCCTTCCAAAGGCCTTATAAAAGACGCCAAGATGGAAAGGAGGGGCACGGGGGGAAAGGAGGTGGCAGTTGGGTGGATTAATAAACATCCAAATACAAGTGGAATTGCGAAAGCCTGAAGAATGAACTATGTCCAATGTGGCCAATTTTAGGCATACAGACAAAACATCCAAATGCATAGCTATACGAACTCACAAAAAGTGTCAATAATGCCTAATGACTCTCGGTGTTAGGCTTCACTTTCTATTTTCAACTGTCGAGGCATCTTTAACATACACCTGTAGCAGAACGGTGGCTATTGCAGTCAATGTATAAGACGAAGTTCGTAATAGCTTAGTGAAAATGCCTTTCTTTTGTGGATGGACAACCGAAATGTCAAATATTCAACCTCCAACAAATACCTCTATATGATTCACCATGTCCAGCATGTAATGTGTCTCTTTAAAACTCGAGAATTTGCATAAAATGTAAATAATTGTTATTAAAGAGGTAGGGCAGAATAATTAGACATCAGAATATTAAAGGGACAGTGTACGCAAACTTCATAAAATCATTAATTGTCTAAATACTTCCAATCATATAATAAGCATCTTCACATGGTCAAGGTACTACGAAATTCGTCTTATACCTTAACTTAAATAGCCTCTGTTCTTGTATCACGGAAGTTTGATTTCA